GCAGACAGGCTGGATCGGCCAGTCGCATCCATGGACCGGGTCTTTACCGTACTGGCCAGGCGCGCAGTGAACGAAAGGACATGTGGGGCCGAAGCCAGCGAGGTAGCGCTCAACATCCTGGAATGGCGCACCGTCCTCGGCAGAGAGGTTATACCACATACGGCCGTCATGGGGGTCCAGGGAGTACTCGATCTGGTAGACGTTGCGATCCTCGGGATGGTAGGCGACCTTGACTGGGTGTGTATTAGCAGGAGCAATTGCAGGTAATGAGGAAGGTTGGGAGATGAAATAGGAAATACGTACTGTTGTGACCACACTGGTTCAGCTGACACGGGAAGGGCGCCTTGTACCTATGGCCTGGTAGTACTTCCACCATCTGGGTCTCCCCAGCATGGTCGCAGGGCACCCCAAAGGAGTTGTTGGCAGCGATAGATAGACGAGCCCAGACTGAGAAGGGACAGTGGTTCCGAAGTTCACCTCGAATCTGAGGAATGTCTGGGTCACCCATGCCGATCCAACTAGGCACGGATATAGACGCCATCGAGGAGCCAGGCTCGATCAGTGAGGACATGAAGTGCTCAGGGGAGAAAACATGGGTCCAGTCCTTGGACATGTCTTGGGTCTTGAAATCAGTCGGAGCGGCGTTGGTAAACACAGTAAGGAAGCTGAGTGCAACTGTCCTCGATTAGTCGAGCTTGAAGACTTCATGGGGCAACTTACCAGCGAAGTAACTGGAGGAATGCATCGTGTCGATGATAGGTAGATCGGAGAGGATCTAGGAGATCTGATATGTGAGAAAGGGAGATAAGATCGAGTACTGTATATAGGAATAGCTTTCGGGAGAAATCGCTGGTCAGGGAAGTCGGAGCTGGTGTAGAAGAGAAGGAACGAAGAAGTTCGCAGCTTATATGCGCCAATGAGTGCACGCTACTGGCACTATTACAGCGCGCTCTTACCGTCATAGCGACCAAAGACCCAGGTGACTCTTGCGGTAATCGCACGTGTGAAGCAGGAGGCGGTGTTAGCTGGCGGAATGACGAAAAGAAGCCAAGGAACTGAGAGCGTTCGTCGCGGGAACGAGTGAGCAGGAAACGAAAGGCGATAAACGCCATTTTGAGTTAGGTAAAGAGCACGTTCTTTGATCACGGGTGCCAAGTGGTCTCGAATATTGGGTGTTCGTTTGATATTACCCACAAGCAGCGTGTTCTGTGAGCAAGTTACCAACCGCGCCTTGATGTGATCATGAAGCCTCGAAGGTCAGACCGCTGATGACGCGCTTGAGGGGATCGTTTACCTGCACATAACATCGCGCCACGAGGAAATCATCGATGGAGTTGGTGACGGGACTGCGCCCAGGCCCAGGCAGGCTCTATCACAACATCGTCTTCGCGGCATTCCATCCCGCAGCCCAATGCCAAAGCCTCGCGTCTACTGTCTTGCCCTCTTGATCGTACTTGACCAAGCGGTCGTACAGCTCGTCGATTGGTACCACGACCCTCTCGATGAATTCGCCATCATCTAGCGCCTGCTCGGGCTCCGCGTCGCCTTCCTTCAAGTTGACTTCCACCATGGCCAATTGCATATTTGCGGTGCTTAGACCAGGATCGGAGACGATAGTCGGGCTGATGAAAGCTAGCTTGCCCTTGTATCCAGTCTCCTCGTGTAGCTCTCGTACGCTGGCCTCGCTAGGTGTTTCCTTCTCGTCGACTAGACCGGCGGGAAGCTCGACGCAGACGGCATTGACGGGTGGGCGGTACTGCAGGATGATGATGGTGGAAGGCGGCCGCGAGGGGTGGCGGATGATTGTGGTGATGGCGACGGCGTCGACGCCTGCCTTGCCTCGAGTCTTGCGCGCCGCGGCTTCCCATACGCGGTCTTTACCAGTTTGATCCTGCCATGAGATCTTCTGGAACTCGATCCACTTTGCCTCGCTGGCAGGAAGTGGCTGTAGAGGCAGACGTAAACAGTCAGTACATATCTCACATTTATATCGTACAGTTTGAACTTACCTCTACTTTGACGATCTTTGGATCTTGCGGCATGTTGTAGGCTGCGCAGAGTGGTGCGCGGGTGTGGAAGGTGCGTGGGAGAAGGCTGTGCTGTATAGTGGAAATGCGCAGTCGCGGTATGGCTCGGTAACTGAGTTTAGCAGAGGTCGGTGATTGTTTTGCAAGTAGAGAAATCGGGTGTCTGTGCATCGGTGGTGACTGTTGATGTCAAGCTGCCGGCGATTGTGGACGCTGACGTAGGAGATTCGGAGCTAACCCAGCCCCGCGGGCCGCGTCGCGCTATCGCGAGGTCACGTGGGCGTGTTGATTAGTGCACTCTTCAAGTGCATGAGTGATCAAACAGGTGCTGGATAAGCAGCAGGTACATTGATTGAGCAATATAGCGAATATTAAATCCCTTACCAGATGTAGAATTTATATACTGCCATCCTTAGTCATTGCGCTGCCGCATGCCAAAGCCTCTAAGCAGGCGTCTTCCTCACATCCGTCAACTTAACCATCAACGGACTCTTCTCCCAAGTGTTATACGCCTTCAACCCCTTGAACTCATCCTTCGGATCCCAAAGCGGCGCGCCATCCGCAAACTCAACATCAAAGTTCCACAAAATCGCACCCAGAATCAGCCTCAACTCGACGTACGTCAAATTCCTGCCAATGCACCCTCTCGGTCCAGTCGAGAAGGGTTGCGCCGCTTTCTTGGCGTCGCTGGCAAATTGTGCTTTAAACTCTGGTGTGTCGAGGAAGCGTTCGGGGATGAAAGTGTCCGGTTGCGCGAAGTTGGCAGCTGAGTGTGATGCGCCCCAAGAACTGACGCAGACCGAGGTGTTTTCGGGTACGGCGTGGCCGTCGATTAAGGAACCGCCTTTGGGCACTGTGCGCAAGAGACCAACGGGTACTGGAGGGAAGATGCGAAGGCCCTCCTCGATGCAAGCGTTCATGTATGGTAAGCTGCCCAAGACGTCCATGTTGATGTCTTCTTCTGTCTTGACCGCGCTTCTCAACTCGTCCTTCAACTTCTGGAATATGACGGGGTTTCTCAAGAGGTAGTTCGTTAGTCCACAGAGCTCCGTTGCAGTAGTTTCACTGCCCGCCACGATGAACAAAGCTGCATTCATGATCACCTCGTCATCGCTGACCTCGTTCTTCTTCTCTCGTTGTTTCAGAATGTACCAGATGAAGTCGCGGTGATCGTTGTCTTTTTGGTTCAGTCTCTTCACAGTCTTCTCAGTCGAGTTGCGCAGATGGCGGAAACGGCGTTCGCGGACGACGGTGGGTATGCACCACATGAGGAACTTCTGCGCGAGAGACCCGGGTCTGGCAAAGCGGCGCGTTGCTTGTTCGATCGCGCCGGATTTGATGGCTTCGTAGATGAGGACGACCCAGTTTGCGGATTCAGAGCCTTCGCCTGAAAATATATGTCAGTACAGCCTGGGAGTACATGTTGCGACAACGCTTATGTGGGTGACATGTACCTTCGCGTAGACATCCAAACGGCTCGCCAAAACTGAGGTCGCCAATGATGTCGAAGGTGCAGAAGTTGAACCATGAAACCATGTTCGCCGCTTCACCCTTGTGCGCCTTTTCCCTCAGCCTGTCCACAAATAGGTTCACATATCCCTTCAAGATATACTGCTGTTCCAGCAAAGCCTGCTTGCTGAAAGCATGAGCCAGCGCTCTCCTCTGCCTCGCATGGTGGATATCAGGAGCCATGGTCAAATTCGTCGCGCCTGGAATCGCTTCTACAGCACCGACGTGGATAGGATCTTTGTCCATGTTCGCAAGCCCGACTCGATGTCCGTAAATATCGTCCCAAGCTTTTGCTGTGTTGAAGGAAAGCTCATTAGGCATGACGCGCACTACGGGTCCATATTTGTCGTGGTGGACCTTGTAGTCGAAGGCAATGCGGCCGCGTAGTAGTGAGATTATCGAGGGAACGGGCGAGATGCGCCACAATAGCGGGCCGGGGTATTTGGCAAGAGGGTGAAGTGTGAGGTTGTAGATTGCCGTCAAGACTACGTATGTGACGAACTGGACTTATCAGATCAATGTCAAGAGGAGAGCTGAAAGACGTACTGCAGCGGGTGCCCAGATCGCAACTAGACGGGCGCGATCCTCGTCTACGAAACCCATGGTGAAGTTCGCTCTCTATTCAGTCGTTTTTTTAACGAATAGTCAAGAGAACAGAAAGCAACAACCAAGCTGACACAAATGAAGTAAGGCTGAACAAGACACGAACCGCACGACGATTGAGATATACCAAAGCCGACCGATCCCTGTGACCATGACGCTACATGCACTACAACGCGTAGTCATCCGTCGTTGCCATAGCGGCAGCAGCTCGCCAAAGCATATCCGACGCCATATATGCAGAGCCGTCAGAAAGACTTGCCAAAAGCGTCTGTCAATTCTAGCCGACTAACCGCGAGGCCCTAGAAACCAGATTGTCGTGTTCCACGACATCTGTCATTCCACTGAGGCGTTTTTACAGATATTGCCGACATGCAAAAAGTGATCACGCCTTCTGTGAGAAGGGCAAACTTCCATGCTTGGGGTTGGATATGCTTTAGCGTGATGCAGCGTGGGCGCCCCGCCTGCCCGCATGTTGACCCCGCGCAGGTTTCCACAATCGGAGCTAGCGAATGAGCGTATGGCCGATGCATGCGACTCGCGCATGGCAATGGCATGATCAGGCTTGAGTCGTGAGCGTAGCACAGTAAGCAAGACGAATTGCATTGTGTCGATGAAGACTGGTCCGGACGTGGTCGCCTATAGCGTGGTCACAGTGCCACACGCACTCGTTCTTCTGTTGTGCTCGGTCTGACAATCTTGACAGCTTCGTGGGTACCTAGGTATTAAGCTCGCATGTGAGATACCCGTGCAACCTGAGAGGCGTCTTCGTCGTCACCAGTGTCTGGGGAGATTGTGTGTCGTGAAGCTCGATGTGGTAGTTTTGATAACTAGTTGGCTATAGACGGGTGCGACACGCGCGGGTCATGTTTCTTGTGCTGCGACGGGCGGTGTTATGACGTGTAGGCCACTGGCAGCTTTGATAGCATCGAACCAGATGTTTCCCATGTGAAAGTACCCGGAATAGGACCTGATTCGATTAGCAAACGTGGTTCTAAGCCACAGGTAACTGGAACACCTACGGATGTAGCCCGTCAACTAACTCCTCGGGCAGGACGACGCTGTGGTCGACAACCGCAACCTTGAAGCCCTGATCAAGCTTCTTCTTCGCAACTGCAGGCACGGCATCATTGAACCTCTTTATGTTTTCCTGCGCCTGTGTATCCGCTCCCTGTATGATCTTCGCAACCAGCACCGCAGCGTCCGGGCACATGTCCAGCACGTCGTCCAACAACGCTGCTAAACGCTTCGGCGCATCTGCCCACTTCTCTTCTGCGGTTTCGGGTCGAGCAAGATCGTTCGTGCCAATATGCAACAAGACGACATTCGGTCGCATCTGAAGTCCAGCTTTCATCAGGCCCTGAAGCTCGCTGATGGTGGCCCCTGGATGCCCCTCGTTGTCATTGTTGGGCATGAGCCCAGAGCGCTGCGTGCCGACAAAGTTCACCGACGCGTAGCGCGCACGTATAAGCGCGTGGATTAGTTGTGCGCGGTATCCATCTGTCCCGTTATCTGCACCCGGCTGGCCACCCCAAGTTATCGAGTCGCCGAGCGGAAGTATGCGTAGTGGAAGGTTGAGGTTCGCGCCCGGTCGTTTGTGGGGGAAGCTTGACATCAGCAGCAGGATTACTATGGAGATGTTAGCAACATATAATGAAGACACAGGTGTCCAACATGGGCAGCATCTTGGAGTGCCAATGCGACAACTGTAGTTGAGTCTAACGCGCCCGGAACCTTGGAACGCTGACGCGACGCACCTATGCAGAAAAAGGCCACTACGCCCAGGCCTTTCAGGACCAGCTTGTTTCGCGGACCTCCCGCAGATGGGAGCATCGGAGGATATCGAGACTGTTCATCAGTCGCCTAGATGGTGCTGCTTCAATGGCATTGTGGGGGCGCAGCAAACAGGAGTCCAGATGAGACCGACGGCTAGCGTCATAGCTCTAGCAATTGACCGACCTTGCGCTATTTATAAGCAGTGAGACTTTGGCTGAGAGTCGCGCATATTAAACAGGAATGTATTGAAACCTCAGGTCGTGTTCGCCAATGGGCATGACGCGGGGGCCCGGGCAGCCACGAGCTTGGAAGGCCCACTTGCCGGACCCTTAAGGTCCCCTAAACACTCACAGCACACTCTTCCAAGGTTTCCTTCACGACATCAGGGTATCACTTTCACTTTCCTCATACGATCGAACGCAGTCGTCCATGTTTCCTTCGTCCCAATCTCCTCCGTGTATCCAACCTTGTGCGAAGCTTCCATACTCATCTGGCGGTCGAAGTCGAACATTGTCATGATGAAGTACTAATAGTGGTCAGCTACTGCACGCGCACACGACGCAACCAGATTTGCGACATACCTGGAATCCAGGGTGCGTGATATCGCTATCGACGCTTCCCTTCTTGAGATTGTGCTTCTTCTCCAGTTCCTCCCACTGCTTCTTATGCGCGTCAATGTACGCGCCCGGCTGTGGTGAGCCCTCTTCAGGCCCGGTACCCTTCAGACCGAAGTAATCACAAATTACCGGCCACTTGCCGCTCCAGCTATCTTCCTGACCGCCCACGTTAAAGCTTTGCGACGCGGTCTTCTCTGGGTTCAAAGACGCGTGGATGGAAAAGTGCGCAACCATATCTTGTGGAGACTCATTGTATTTGTTCATCCACGACTTCTCAGTACCAGGGAATGGGCACTTTGCGCCCTCGCCCTCAACCGATCGATATAGCGAAAGGTACAACGCCAGTGTTTGCGCAAGGCAGTATGCGTTATTATTCGGCACGAAACCGATGATGTTGTCTGGCCGGACCTCGCACCAGCTCCAGTTCTTTCCTTTGGAGATGCGTTTTAAGCAATCAATCTGGTTGTAGTAGAAAAGCTGGGAAAGGTACGGTTCGGGAATCGGTGGAAGTGTTTCCTTGAGCGGTAGGTCGTTCGCGAATGGGAACTTGTCTAACATCTGGCAACCGTAGATCTTGGTTCCTGTCGGAAGCAGTACGTACGATAGTTTGGAGGACAGATGATCGATCGCAGTCACAGCGCGCTCCAACATCGCTTCGTTGGTCTTGCACTCGGCTTCTGGTTCGTCGATCTGCTTGTATGCTTGGTATTGTCAGACTTTGCGGTTTCGTCTGACAACTTTGACTTACAATAGAAGTACACTTGTGTCACGGTCTCAACATCCTTGACCTTTTCTTTGATTTGCTTCTCTAGCTCTTCTTGTGTGCCCTTGATAAGATCGACACCAGAGACTATCTGCAATCTTGGATCGTCAGGCCAGAGAGCCATCTCACGTGTCAGCGGTCGATTGACCATCGCTGTTACTCGTGAGAAAGCATCCTTGGAAGGGTATCCGTTCAGGATAGCATTGACAATGGCCCATCCAGAAATTCCAGAAGCGCCATAAATCAGCGCGTGGTTGCCCATGATGTAAGTATGGCTTTCACGTCGATATAAAGGTTCAAAGGTATGCGCAATGTAAGGCTCGCAAAAGCAATAACGCGACGCGTGAAGGCCAAACCCCTGGTATATGTATCTAGAACAATACCACATCGGATCCAGCCCGCATTATCATAGTATGCTATCATTGGATGAGCCAGCTATGCTGCTGCATGCAAGTACCTGCTGCTTGGAACAGCCTGGGCTGAGGATGCTTATGCGGAGAACAATATCCAACAGGTGCCTGACGAGTCCTTTCCCCGCAGCGTCATCCGCCATGACTCGCCCTCTGACAGCCTTCGGCTACATTGCCGGCGACTTGCATTTTCCGTGGGAATACTGACCGTGCTGGATGCAGCACATGCTCGTGCGTAATGCGAAGGCACTTCAGATGGTTAAGGGTTGATACGGGCATGGGGCATCGTGAGTTTCTGTGGCAGTGGGAAGGTGCTAATCAGGCTAGCGCGCCCCAGGCACTCGATCGGCCTTATCGTACGGAGTTCCTCTACCTCTTTTACTACCACGATCATTTTCGCACTGCTTTAAGCTCAATCGTGCCACACTTTTGCAAGTACTGGCCGTGTAGATATCAAGTATGTCGCCTACATAATCAGGTATGCCGTTACGTCTGGCTTGCGAAGGCTTTCCACACCGCGATCCTTCCGCCTTCGCGTTGGCGCCTTTAAAAGCATCACGTTCTCGAGGGCCCTATTGGTCGTCTCTAACACACTCTGAAATGCTGTTCTCATACTCACGTATCGTTGTCGCGATGTGAACAGGAAGTCTGTGAGAGAGTAAAGGCGCATCCCGTTCGCTTTCGTCCACGTGTGCCATACATATGTAAACTGTTATCTCTTGTTTCTATCTCAATCTACGACATGTTAGATTGCCTTTATCTTCAATTGACTGGTCCTTCCTCTCGGCGTACAGCAAAACTCAATCCAGCGATCTGCGGTGTGTCGTCGCCGCCTTCACCTCCAGGGCTGCGTTTTCTAAGGCTGCAGCCAGCTTTACCTGTGTAGTGCTTCCCAGGCATATAATAATACCATTCTCTTCCGTATCTAAATCTTCAAATTCCATACTCCTAAGACTACGTTGCAGCATTGAGCCATCTCACGAGGACCTGATTCAACTTCACGATACCAACATGGCACGAGCGAAAGAAACAGACCGCCCCTCGGGCAAAGCCGAGAGCAGGCATGCGACTACGGCAGTTGATCGTCTGCGAGTAGCGGTAGATATCCTCATAATAACATTTCTTGCTGAGTAAGATGACTGACGTGACTACACAGAAGCGACAACTCCAGAGTTTCAACAAAGCGCAGACAAAGTTATACACCATGTTCGAAGAAATGACGCAGGAACTTGAACACGCCAAGGAAGACATTGACAAGATTGAGGACTCGTGGATGGCGGTCAGCTATAAACTGGATGCGACCGAGACCGAGCTAGACACAACTAAGAGTCAGCTGGCTGAGGTAAAGGGAAGCCGTGACATGTACAGACGCTGGTGGCTTGAAGATGACCGCGCATTGAGTTCAGAAAAGCGCATTAATGAGAAGCTGGCAACCGAACTGGCGATCGAGAAAGAGAAGGCCAAGAAAAACAATGACGCCCAGGAAAAGCTCAACCAGCTCCAGAAACAATGGTCATCACTCTCACATATCCTCGGCAACGAAGATCACAAATGCTAGATGGATGGCATGTTGCATGCTGGCAGGCATAATCATTTGCTTCAGGAAGAAGGTCTAACATGAAGTGGAGTTGCAAATGAGGTTGTGTTTCTGGGCATTTGCCTTTGCGACATGCGGAACCATGATGGTATTTGCAGTATTCCGCCCTGGTGTTCGTTACACTACAGAAGATATATAGTGAAAAACCGACACCATGGGTATGAGCATCTTGTACATAAGAGCTATGAATCGACCAAAACAGTACGACGGAAGAAAGCACTCCTTTCTCTGTACCGAAAGCTTCAAGTTAATGTAGGATGCACCAGTATCCCTTCGCGTCCGTGATAGGCACTCCAGTGATACTTCTCGCCTTCAACTTTCCCGCATCGCATGTATCCCACCTGCACTCCCGTTAGCCCAATCTACTTCGCGATTTCTTCTAGGCGACAAGGATTACTGTGAGAAATCGCATCCACACGCCTCAGACACCGTTGCTGATACTGCTTTGCCCGTGATCCCATAACAAGCATCACCGTAGATGACTTGGGTCTTGCCGCCTTGTAGGTAGATGGTGCCGCAAATAGGTGGCCTGGGTACAGTGGGCGCCGCAGATGCGGAGATGGCGAGAGCTGAAAGCAACGTAAGAGTAGTAAGGTGCATGTTGAAAAGGTTGCAAGCGGAGGAACCTTGCTTAGGTCGGCTTTTCTAGTTCGTGGGCCAGTATGGGCACGGTGAACCTTTTTGGAATGGAGGATCTGTTTGCATAGACGTAGTATTTATGTGAAACAGATCTCGGCGTTTACATGCGGTGTGATATGTGACGTGTGGGGGCAGATGTAAGATCTCGCCTTCTGATCATATGCGGGTGCTCTATTACAAGGTAGGTACGTGAACGGGCGTCTTCGGTGGCGCATAACGTGTATTGAGAACGAACTCTGACCTGCATGGTCTGCATGTAAGCGCGTAAGTCGTCAGCCACAAGCACGTGTCAGACCACCATCGAGACCAATCGTGGAGTAAACATTTTATTTTGTTCCTTTGTACTTCTAACCAACCCAGTCGATCTCCTTCTCGTACTGCCAGAAAGCACCTGTCTTGTTCTGGATGTCGTGGATCGCGAGCATTACGGGGGTTTGAGCACCTTCTTCTACAGTTCTCGTTCCGTTGCCTAGATTTGGTGCATACAGTCAGTACATGTCTCACATGGTGCACCCGAGGAAAGGTTTGCTTACCCTTTGTCATGTCCGTGTTGACATAACCTGGGCAGCATGTATTGATCAATACCTTGCTTCCCTTCTCCTTCTCTTGTCTGGCCAGCGCCCGTGTGCCTCCAATTAATCCTGCCTTGCTCACAGCATACCCGGCACTAGGGAAGCCAGCGTCCTTCTCCTTGCCAGCTTCGACAGCAGCAACAAAGTCCTTCATGATGCTTGTGACATCCTCTTCGGTCTTGGAGGCGAGGAAACGGTTGCGAACTTCTTCGGAGTATTTGTTGAGCTTGCCAGCCATGCTGCCGAGGTTCACGATGCGACCGGTGGGCTTGAGAAGGGGGAGGAAGGTGTGGCACGCCTCGAGCGTCTTGTAGTAGTTGCAGTCGAGGGTTTTTTTGACGAGGTCGGCATCTAATCATGTTAGGGACGGCGGATTGTACATTGGAAGGAGATACTTACTGAAGCCGTCCAACGCGATACCAGCGTTGTTGATGACAAAGTCAATGCCATCCGGATGAGCCTGCTTCAAGTGGTCCGCAAGAGTCTTGATGCTGCTGCTGCTTGTGATGTCAAGCAGATGGAACTTGATCTCAGAGAGACCACCATCGGCCTTCAATGCCTTGGCCTGCTTCAATGCCGCATCTTGCTCCAAATCCTTAACGGCAGCTTCTCCTCTGCCCTGGTCGCGAGCCGTCAGATAAATCAGCAAGGGTCCGTTGTTGAGCGGCGACTTGGGGTATTGCAGGGCGAGCTGCTGCACGATGGCGCGTCCGATGCCCTGTCAATGTTAGTTTGGTACTCCCGAAGAGGCTGTGGACGTGTGTAGATACCTTGTTCGCGCCGGTGACGACTCCTACTCTGCTGTATGACATGATTGTTTGTGTGCTTCAATTGATCGGTGTTTGGTGGAAGGAAGAGGGGACTGATATTCTGAAGTATCTTCCCCACATTGTCCCATTAATCATCATCGAAAGAGCTTCGCTGTTCGGAGTTAACAAGGTCGATACGTCACTAATCATCGGTGGATCCAGATGTCCCGGCCACCTGCGGGCATCGTGCGGCACCAACGACGCTATTCCGGATAGGGCTAACACTGCCGCGGCCACGATCTCTCGATTTCGCTGTCTGCCTGCGGATGTTCACTACACCACACCTGCATGAACCAGCTCAGCATTCTTGATTACTGATTGAACCGAGCCTTGACAAACTTTCCATTAACTCCATGGTTTTCTACGGCGCGGTTGTTATCCCTAGCAACTTGCATACACAGCCATCGGCCATCCGTAACCTCTAACACAGACACGGTAGATGGATCGTCTGGTAATTGCTGCATGTCCTTCCACTCGGCGTATCGCTCCCCGTCTGCAAGTACAGATCGTAGTAACTCGCTTCAGCCGATTTGCACACTAGGAAGTTCAGCTCTAGGCTGCGTGTTAGCACCGCCGACAATGAGCCGAACATGCCTCCTTCCTGAGTACTTACGTCGCCCATAGCTACTGCTCTGCACAGTAATGATAGTATCACCCTCCAACCCCCACGCCGTAGTCTCCCCAGTGGCTCTCCAGACCAACGGCTTGTAGCTTGTCGATGCGGTCGCAATGTTCAGATACTGGCTTGTCTTTTTCGATTGGATGGTGCCGCCGATGGTAAATTCGTCAGCTGCGGTTTCGGGTCCCAGCACAGGGATCGATGCTATACGTGTTATCAACAAGTTCCTGGAAAAATAGTAGAGCTGAATGTCAAGAGAAGGAAATCAGCGTACAATTCTTAGCGCTTGCTTGCAAGTATAGATGGTAAATTGGGTCGCGAACACCACGTATTTTGCCTACAGTTGCTGCGGCGCTCTGGGCATTCTCCACCGGCGCAGCGAGTGCGCCCGATGCTACCAACAAAATTTGAGCGAAGAACGACAACATCGCGAAGAAGAACCTGAAGCCCCAATATGCAAGACTGCGACTTGATTCAGTCCCCGGGTCTCTTTATATGTGATCGCAACTTCGCATTACGTGACCCCAGTCTGCAATATAGCAGATTAATTACGGTCGCGTCACGCGTAGAGATGTTTACCACCGGATATAACGCATCTGCATCCCTGTCGTTCTACATCCGTCGCAAAGAACCACCGAGACAGGCACTACATTGTGCATTCGCTACTGTCTTGCCCGGACTAAAAAAGTCAGGACGCGATACTGAAGGAACGCGCTAACGCTTTGGGTTAGTGCGGAACGCGACTGCTGTTTACTTGGCATTCAGGCAGTCGCCTCCCGTCTCACCTGCAACACACCTACCATCATCGACTCAAACTCTTGTCCCGTAGTCTCGGGCTGTACGGTCGTACCCACTGGCTTTGTTGATAACGAACGTTCATGATGGTCGGGCTTACAACAATCACGTCGCCCACGTCATGTGGCACGACTAGCAGCAGCTATGATCACCGAGCCGCACGCGAGGACATGGACAAATCAACTGATCACCAAATGAACGACCGTGACGATGCTATATCCATATCTTCGTCTTCGGCGCGGGCCTCTGCTGCTACTGGATCATCTACGCCCGCTACCCCAGGATTCTTATCAGCTCCCGAAAAGGTGGAGTGTGTTGAGACTGGTGCACAGAACATGGATCGGTACATCGCACTTGGCTGCCTTCACTTCAAACACACATTCGATTTTAGTTCAATCTCACCGTCGAGAGGCGATTGGGTCGAGTTACTGCACCAAGAGCTTACCGACGAGATCAAGGCCAGCATCGGTATTGAAGCATCACGACTGCTTGAAGCTCAATGGATTCGGATATTCGCGCGTAGAGGAACGCCTGGTAATGCGTCTCACCACGACCTTCTTCGCGTCTATCTTTTGCCAGAAGACTGGGCTCGTCGTACGATTGACCGTAACAGCAAGAGCTTGAAGAACGCTCTGCGGACACTGCTCCAACAAATTGACATCTCACCGAGTGCTTGGAATGGAGACTCAAATCCTGATGAGACGCGTTACTTTGATCCCTGGGCTTATGTAGAACCTTTCTCGCTATACTACCTTTTCAACAAGCTACCATCACCTGCGCCCGACGTGGGGAGGATCAAGTGTCGCTATACACGTGCCGCCGTACAAGACGTACTAGATTCTGCGGCAGTCTCAGAGTGGTCGGAGCATGGTGAACAGGCTCTACCGGGGCTCAAGACTAGATTATACGCGTATCAGACACGGTCGGCGAGCTTGATGCTGCAACGGGAAGCTTCGCCACAGCTGCAGCTTGATCCAAGATTGGAGGTTCGTACCTCGCCCGATGGCAAGAAGTTCTACTTCGGGCCTCGAGATGGATCGTTTCTACAAGAGCCGCGCTACTACGAAATGAACCGGGGTGGTATTCTGGCAGAGACCATGGGCCTGGGGAAAACGGTAATTTGCTTGGCCGTTATATTGGCAAGTAAGGGCCATCTTCCCAAAGTTCCAGCCGCATACCGACCATTACCTCCTCTTCGCAAGCGACCCGGATCGTTGGTAGACATGGCGATCTCTTCCGCTGGCCGACATTCAATCCCAATGAAGTCCTTTCTCGAGCAGTCTGAGGCGAACGGGGCTGGAGATATGACAAGCATCAAAGATGCGCTGGATCGAGATGTTCCATTCTACGAGATACCACCAGATATCCCACGCATGAACAGGAATACCCGAATACCGCCAACACGTCAATTGGTCCTCTCTTCCGCTACTATCATTGTCGTACCGCGAAACTTACTGCACCAATGGCAGTCAGAAATACAGAAGCACGTCCTTCCGGGTGGCCTCAGGATTCTCGTCGTTGACTTTG